AACCAGAAGACTGATGGAAGAATGTTTTGTGGACGGATGAGACCAAAGTAGAACTTATTGGTTTAAATAAAAAGAGTTATATTTGGAGAAATGAAAACTCTGCATTCCTGCAGAAGAACCTTATCCCAGCTGTGAAACATGGTGGAGGTAGTATCATGGTTTGAACCTGTTCTGCTGCATCTGGGTCAGGACAGCTTGCCATCTTTGATGGAAAGATTAATTCTGAATTATATCTGAGAACTCTAAAGGAACATGTTAGAACATCTGTCCATGAACTGAATCTAAGAGAAGGTGGGTCATGCAGCGACACAACGAGCCTCAGAACACGTGGTTCTACCAAAGAATGGCTCAAGAAGAATAAAGTTCATGTTTTGGAAGGGCCTGAGTCCTGACCTTAATCCAATCCAGATGTTGTGGAAGGACCTGAAGCAGCAGTTAATGTGAGGAAACCACCAACATCCAGAGATGAAGCTGTTCTGTAGAGGAATGGGCTCAAAGTCCTCCAAGCCGTGTGCAGGACTGATCAACAGTTACTGGAAAAGTTTAGTTGACATTATTGCTGGGGGGGGGGGGGGGTCGCACCAGATGCTGACAGTAGAAGTTCATACTTTTACCACTCAAATATTTAATATTGGATAATTTTCCTCAATAAATTAATGACCAAGTATATTTGTCATTTGTTTAACTGGGTTCTCTTGATCTACTTTTAGGACTTGTGTGAAAATCTGATCATACTGATGCAGAAATACAGAAAGTTAGAAAGGCTTCACAAACTTAAGTACCACTATATGCATGTCTCAATGAATGCTGCTTCAACTTCAGGCATAATATCAAATGTCGTGAATTTTGGAACCAAACAAATTCATAATATTCATGTCACAAGAAGATCAACTAGAACTTTGTTTCACTCCTGCAACAGCTCACATTGCTCTAACAGCAGTTTAAGTGTTTCCCTGAAACTGGACCAAGGAACCCTTGGACATATCAGCATTATTTTCCCCTCAGTGAAATGATGCTTTGCAGCTTCGTTTTCATGCTCGTACCCTTGGTGATGGCCTTCTGGTTCAGCTGCGTGATGAGTTTCTTCCTCATCTCCTGGTCTCCAGCCAGACTGTAGGTGTAGGACAGCAGGGCTGTGGTGTATAGGTTGTCCAGCCCTTGGTCCACAACAGCCTTCAGACACTTCAGGCAGTTCTGCACCACAGGGTCCTGATACAAAAACACAATGAGGCTGCATGCCCGAGTTCCTATAGGGAAGGAGGGTGTCATTCAACTTACTGAGGGGCTTCCGTCCAGCTCCAACATAGCAGCAGCGACGTACGCCGTCAGAGACACATCATCAGAGACTCCTCCCTGGTCAAAACAGCACCGGGTCAAACCCACAGCTACTCTTCACACACCATTTTACTCTGCCATTAAAAATCCTGGAGTTTTATTCATGCAAACTAAAAGAAGGTGTTTAAAACTGGATTCATCCGTTTGGGTGAAAATAATAGAGAATATAAGTCCAGCTCTCCGGATTTGTTCTTGCCTAAATTATAGACCAACACTTAATGGTTCAATTCCATCAATGCATATTTAATGTTTGTGTAATCGTCTGAATACCAGTGATGGTACTGGTGAAAGATCCAAAGTCTGACCCATTTCCATCAAACAGATTCCAATCAGCCATTTGATTTGTGAGGCACGTTCTTCCTCCCACTGAGCAGAGGAGGTCAATCAGAAGGCAGAGCCCCACATCATTACAGGAACACAAAGCATATCTGTGTGTGTGCACGCGAGTGTGAACATGTGGGTGGATTTTATTTAAGCTAGAAAAATACGTAATTAGATGTCCATCTGACTGATTAACCTTTGGAGGCAATCCAAGTCAAGATGGCTGCCACAGATAATCAACATCAGCCGCCCATAATTCAGTCAGTATTACAGATATTTAATATTTCATGAGGTAGTAGCTGAGAGTCCTGTGATGGACTAGTTATCAGTCCAGGGTGTGCCCCGCCTCTCGCACAGTGATAGTTGAACATGGGCACCAGTGACCCGATAAGAAGCGGGTAAAGGATGGATGGATCAACGTGTGGCATGGAGGCTGCACAGCTGCAGAAAGAAAAGCTTTGCAGAGAGTGGTGAAGGCTGCACAGAAGACTGTTGAGTCAGTCTCCCCACCAACAGACATCTACACCTCCAGAAGCAGGAAGAGGGCCACCTGCATCATGAAGGACCCCACTCACCCAGCACACACTTTTTGCCCCACTCCCCTCAGGAAAGAGGTTGAGGAGCATTAAGTGTAGAACCACTAGACTGAGGAACAGCTTCTACCCTGAAGCTGTTAGACTCTCGTGATTTTTCACAGTGATTATCCTGGTTAGAGATTCATGTTGCTGCTGATCGTTTCATGTTGCTGTGTTCATGCGTGCTCATCTGCTCACACAGACTCATGCTCGTGCTGCTGTTCGACGTATTGTTTTTATGCTATTGGTAATTAGTGTATTTTTAGCTGATTTTTTTTTTTAGTTCATATCTTAGACGTTATCGTTTTTCTTTTATATTTTATCGTTTGATTTAACTGGGACCGTGTACATAATTTTATTGGTGCGAACGACAAAGAATCTGACCGACTTTTCCCCAACTCTTAAAAATTGGTGCATTTTGCAGAAAAAGCAAGAACTGCTCAGGATTTCAGGATGATCCAGATGTTAAAATGTAGCTAAAAAGCCAAGAATCTGAAAAAGGGCTTAGCTTTACAAAATCAGACTCAATCCTTAATTTGATGTGATGCTCACAAATATGACACAATCAGGCTATTAATCTATTCATCTAGTTTATAGAGTAAGCAGAATTTCTGGTGGTGAATATTCAGTTCTGCAAATCTCTTGAGTCGTAGAAATCCTGGTTGAGTTTAATTCTTGGCTCCATTGTGTGTGAAGGTTGTCTGCACAGTTAAAATTCATTCTGCTCAAATGAATCCGTTTACATCCCTACTCGCACTGAGCTAACCCGGGTCTCAGACTGTCATGAAGTGTTAAACATTGATACCTTCATGGAGCTATGGAAGAGTTTTCCAACAGATGCGATGCAGCCGTCTGTCCTCTGAAGCCGAGACAACCAGGACCTGGCATCTTTAACTTGCTGGGGGTCCACATAGATGTATGCACTCGCACCACTGAAGGACTTCATCACAAAAGCAGTCAGCCTGGAAGGACACACACACACACTTGGTTAAAAAACAAAGCATGTGAGCCAGCGCTGTGAGCCCATAATTAACAGAGAGGGGTCAGTTATGAAACGGCTTTGTGCGAGACAGGAGACCAGATGGACGTCAAGAGCTTAAATGGGTCTAACTGAACCACTTCATCGAACCAGCAGCACCACCGCTGAGCGCACAGGGGGCCATCCTGAAAAATATGCTACCCCTCCTTCAGCCCGACAGTCTTTGTTATTAATTGTTTTATCATGTATCAATGTGGTACCAAAAACTGACGTCAGAATCCTGGATGTTTGTTGAGTTTTGATGATTTATCTGTAGAGTGGTTCTCCAGGATTCTTTGTTTTTGTAATATATAGTGACCTTCTTATATCTGGGGTGTTTGAATGAGATAAGATTCTTTATTTTTACGCTTTGTGGAAAAAAAAAAAAAAAAAAAAAAAAACTGACCAGGAAACTCCCGATCACAGGGGTGGGGGGTTAAAGTCCTTTCTCAAGAGCTCAACATGAAGCAAATGAGGGTGGAGGTAGGTGTGTGTGCTTCACATTTCCCACCCAACTTTGTTATATTAGTCAGGTGAACAGTCGGCCTTTTGCTTACCTTCTCCAACCTCTGCACCACCACTCCCCTACAGACTGATCTGAAGAAATTAGTCTTTTCTTCCATCCATCCATCTTCCATTTGTTCTGAAGTCAGGTCATGGGGCAGCAGCTTGAACAGGGAGGTCCAGACTTCTTTCCACAGCCACCTCTTCCAGCTCTTCTGGGAGGACCCCTAGGCATTCCCAAGCCAACCGGGGGGGGGGGGATGCCCAGGGAGAATCCTTAGCAGACGCCCGATCCACCTCAACTGGCTCCTCTCGATGTAGAGGAGCAGCGGTTCTACTCAGTCTTTCCCAGATAACTGAACTTCTCACCCTGTCCCTAAGGGAGAGTCCAGCTACCCTGAGGAGGAAACTCATTTCAACCACCTGTATCCATGATCTCATTCAGTCACTACCCAGAGCTCAACCATAGGTGAGGGTAGGAACGTAGACAGACCAGTAAACAGAGAGCTTTGCCTTACAGCTCAGCTCCCTCTTCACCACAACGGACCGGTACAGAGTCTGCAACACTGCAGACGCTGCACCAATCCATCCGTCCATCTCATGTTCCATTCTTCCCTCACTCATGAACAAAACCCCGAGATACTTGAACGCCTCCACTTGAGGCAGAACCTCACCCAGCAATTCAAGAGCAATCCACCCATTTACGACTGAGGGCAAACAGTTCCACTGAGAGCTGGAGATCACGGCACGATGGCCAACAGGACCACATCATCTGCAAGGAGCAAAGATGGAATCATGAGGTCACCGAACTGGACTCCCTCAGTCCTCTGGTGGCACCAAGAAATTCTGTCCATGAGTTATGAACAGAGTTGGTGACAACTGGCAGCACTGGCATAGACCAACTCCCACCCTGAAGGGGTCCAACTTACTACCAGCAATGTGAACCAAACTCTTGCGCCGCTTGTATAGGGATTGAACAGGAGGGTGAAGGAAGCCTTTATGGAAAATGAGAAACCATCTCTCAAATTTCAGCTTTCAAAAGCATCTAATGCAACTTTAAGCCCGATACTACACATTTTCACTCCTATCGGAATTTCATCCATGTGACCAGAGTGGCCCATCTGTGATCCGACTAACCAAGACCCTAATGAACCCCTATTGTGAGGAGTGATAGGGCAATCTGCACATGTACTGTATCTAGCTTACCTTAGATTTATAACTCAAACCCCACACTCTGTTCTTTGAACTGAGAAAGCTCCTCAGATGAGAAGTGAAGCATCTTCTGTTACAAACAAAGTCCAGTTTTTGTCTTGAACTTTTTTGAATTTCAGTTCAAGTTTGTTCAACTCAGAACAGTCTGGTAAACAAAATAACTCAGTCCAACAGGAGTGTGTGGAATCCTTTTGATGTCAATAAAAGACCTTGATGGTGAATAATACAGAACAAAAACTCTAGTCCATCTTGTGTCTGTTTCAAGAGAATTTGATTGCTTTCCTTACTAACATTTGTCATCTCAACTCCATTTTGTTCATGTTACTGACCAGGTGTTTCCATACTCGTCACCGTTCCCAAAAGCGCTGTAAGAACCGTCTGTGTGCTTGTAGTTGAGCTCCCTCTGATATCCTACATCAAACATGGAGAAAACACAACAAGGGTTTTTATTCACATGTAGAACACAAATGTTGTATTTCTGCTTTGAAAAACAGGCACAGTCAGCTCTCCAAGCTCTGAGATCTAAACTGGGTCTGCTGGGCGTTTGGTATAAAGCCTGAGAAATTTATCAGTAGGAACGATATTTTAGGCCGATGTAGACGTTTGGCGACCTATCGGTATCAATGATAATTCTCCCATTATGCACCGATAAAAACACTTTTCACCCCTAAAATGCTGGAACCAGATGTAATTGTACAATGTATCCAGCAGAGGGCGCATGAAGACTCAAGTCGTGACTCTTCACTTAAGTTTCACTTTCACATTCAGCACAGACGAAGCAGGAAGCAATACTGTGTAGCATATTTTGCTGAACAGAGCATGGAAAGTTTAAAATAAACTGATCTGTAAAATAAATAAATCCTTTCAGTCCTCCAGCCCACTTGGCTTACTAACTTGAGAGGCACATATGACAACAGTTGGATAACCTAGCATAAGCTATTGTTTTGTAAAACTTTAACCAGAACAATAATTTAACGTAGAGTTAAATATACATCAGTGTTAGTAACATTGTTGTCCTCAATGAACTGTATCGTTTGAAATACTTATCTACGAAGAAAAATAAACTCTGCTGCGGTCAATGCTAATTAGACCTTCACCATAAGGGACTATTTAAAACAATGAACAGAGAAGGATGTTTGTTTACATTTATGCAACACTTGATAACTTTATGGTGAATAGAAAATGTGAACCCATGTTAGGAAGGCTTTTTATAACTAGTGCACCACTTGTAAACTACTGTGGGACTACATATACCGTGGATCTGATTAGCTTAGCTTCATGGTTGCCAACAGCTGCACTAAATAAACAAGCCCCGCTTCACTTGCCGTTTTCTTAGATTCAGCAATTATATCAGTTATCTGAGCCCCTCCCCCAATGTCGGTATTGATGATAGCCAAATCTTCCATATCGGTCAGGCTCTGGTTTGGAACAACATGTATACTGGTTTTTCTGATTCAACTCTCAGACCAGACTGTTGTCATGAGACAACCTCAACCTGCAGGAGGGAGAAAAAAAATGAACCATTCTGTGCACAAAAAAACAAAAAAAACAAAACAAACAATAAACACTCTTTTCCAACAGAAAATGTAGCACAGATTGTGCATTTAGCGATTCAGGAAAGCTCCAATAATATTGATGGTCAGGAAATCCTACTGCCTGTAAATGACTGCTACTACCACACTGAATTGTTGGTCATTAGCAGTTGAACTGACTGCACAGTTCATTAAAATTCATTTATTGAGATGAGATATTTTGCCAACGGACAGGTAAAGTTGCAAGCCTGACCGTTAACCTTTAATGGGCCACATCAGGGGTCTGCTGCAACCTGTGGCCCTATAGTCCCTTGTCTGCAGCTCTTTGAAGCTTTGACCAAAACTAGTCATTTCATAATGCGTTTTTAATGACTGCATCATTGCTTCAAATTGTCCCATCACTGACAGAAATATGAAGTGGTAAATGGTGCAGCTTTGTGTCAAATCTAATTTGTTGTCTTTCCCTGACAAAGTGCTGAGGAAGCCGTTTCCATTGGTTTCTATAGCGCTCACCGCTCTCCAGGAAGCCCTTTGCCTTAGCCAAAATGGCCAGAGTCAGCTGACCGGAGCTGTTCAGGTAGTTGAGGATAAAGATGTTTGGTGCGAACAGCAGCATGTTTTGTTCGCCGCAGCCGTACGGCATCGCCAGGAGCTTGTCCAGATTCTGCATGGCACGGCCCATCAGGTCACCTGCAGAGGTGGGAAGGGAAACAAGCTCAGACCGGCTGGACGTTCGATCCAACGAGTGTAAGAGAAGAGACAGGAGAGACGGCGTGGCGTCACCAACCCAGGACAGAGACTGTCGCTCTGGCTGAGCCGTTAACGAACATCTCCGGCAGAATCAGAGAAATATTCTTCTCCACTGATCCCTCTGGGGAAAAGAGAAAACAAAAGACGATGCGAGATCTTGAATGATCTGGTACATGAGGATAATGCTCAGCTACTACCACAACAAGTTTTAGCACAATATTTGTACAGATGGCCGAGTTATAACCTCCTTTTGTGTTAAGTCAATTAGCTGTGGCGGCCATCTTCAATGGTGATGACTCAAAGTTAATCAGTTTTACATGCTCTTAACAACTTTCACCAACGTCTGTCCAGTGGTTCTTGAGATAATCTGCTAACAGACAGGGTTGATGTTACCAATCAGTGTCAAAGTTTTAATCTTGCACAATGCATAGCGAGTGGATTACGTGTTGGGGTGATGCTCAGCTACTACCATGCCAGTGTTTGGCTTAGCATCTGTAAAATTGGATGAATTGCAGCCATTGTTTGCTCAGCTGTGGTGGCCATCTTGAATGGGATCAAAGTTAATCAGTTTGAGATGCACAGCCAATGATTTATTTTTACCCATCTAGTGGGTCATGAAATATTTTAATAAAGTTACTGATAAACAAGACAGATAGACACATGTAAGTCAGTGCCTTCACCATTAGTGATAACCATAAATCAAAGGTTTGTTGACTACTAATGAGCGTACTTGTGAACAAAAAAAAAATAAAAAAAATAAAAGCACATTCTGTAATTATACTGTTTGAAATAAACACTTGTTTAACTGTTGAAAACATCTGAAGAAAAATACGCCAACGTTCAGTGCTGTGTTGGAACCAAATAAAAATGGTTACAACAACATTAAAGTTAAAGCAAACGTAAAATGAAATCAAGTGAGCAGCTTAGAAGGGACAGCTGTCGCCGAGTGGTTAGAGAGGTCATCTTCCGATGGGAGAGTTGGGGGTTCGATTCAACCAGCAGTCACATGCTGAAGTGTCCCTGGGCAAGACACTGAACCCCTCATTGCCTCTGATGCGTCCCAGTGTATGAATGTGATAAAGCTCTGATCATTGTTTGTAGAGATCTAGTAGAGTGCTGTATGAATGGTTTACAGGTTAATAGATGTTTAGCATGGCTGAGGATGCTAACTGCCCATGAATCATGCGTTTGAGTCGACAGTTCTTTTCTCTCCCAGAGAGGGCTGAATGAGGATCCTGCATGCGCAGCTGGCAGTCCAAGGACACCGGCCTGCCTGAGGAGAGAGCTGATAAGCATATAAATAATTCTCGCACGCTGCCCGGTGCAGATTCTCATGACTGGGCTCCATGCATGTCGAACTTTTATACATGTGTGTAACCTGTTGTGAAAGTCTGCCCTTGCAAGTAAAACCAGTTAATCTTGTGTCCTCGAATGTGGCTTCTTCTAGTAAGCAAGACATTTGTATGCAACACTGTCATCACTCACTTGCAGGACACAGCAGAGCGTTGTAGCTGTCCATCTGGGGGGTTCCTTCAGCCTTCAGGAGACAGTTGTGTTAGCAAATCATACAAACGCACAACAAATGCTGTCCTGGTGCAGAACAAACTGAACAGAAGCAAGTACCAAGCATTCCTTCAAGTAGCACACACCACCTGCTGCCTTTCATGCCAGAGTTTCAGGCCAAGATTATTTCATGACAAGATTTAATATGAAAGTTTTAATAACGTAACGCACAATCGCAAACAATATCACAAGATCTTACACAACCTGGTTGAGCTCAATGTTTGTGTTGTAAACGACTCTGCTACTACCACATAAAATCTAAGTTCAATATCTGTAACATTAACTAATTTTTGTGTTGACCAAGAACAGTTAGCTGTGGCAGCCATCTTGATTGATGTCATGTCAGCCAGTGGTAAAAATCCAATGATTGATTCATGAGTTTCTTTAAAATGTGCAGTGATTTATGAAATATTTTGCTAACAGACAACATGAGTTGACTCCAATTAGTTAATGTTAAAACTTTAAACTTGCACTTTTACTTAGCACTCATAAAATGTGTTTGGGAGCAGTCTCTGCTACTACCACAGCAACATTAAACATCTATAAAACTGACTCAGTTAAAGCCGTTTTGTGTTTTCTATGATCAGTTGGCTGAGACAGCCATCTTGAATTGACTCCAAAAGTTAACAAGTTGTAGATGTACATCCTATGATTCATTCCTGAGAGTTTCATCAAAATCCATTGAACGGTTAAAAAAAAAAAAAAAAAAAAAAAAAAAAAAAAAAGTTATCGTTTCCACCTTTGGAACCACTTTAACATAATGGATTAAAACAAATTACTCAAAAATATTCTTCCATTTAGATTATCAGTTTATCGTATTTTTTTTTTTTTACAATATATTTTGACTACTCTTAAAATGATCATTATTACAAGTTAATTTTAAACGAGCTAACAGTCGTTGTGCTGTTGTGTGACCTTCACTGACCTCCACCAGCAGGGTGCTGATCACGGTGTCCTTGCGGCCCACATCCGGGACGATTGCCACCTTATTGCCACACAGCTCTGAAGACTCCAGGGCCTCGGCGCTGACATTCAGGCTCACATCACCTGTGCACATACACACACACACACACACACACACTCTGATTCTGAGGATGAGATGTATCCATTAGCATCCATCGCAGTCTGTGTGCACAACAGAAGGATGACTTCATCCCTCTCCCTGTTCCTCCTCCTGTTTAATCACCAGCCTTATTTCAACCATTTCCCACCCCCTCCTCTATTCCTTCACAACCTACAGTCATACACACAGAGGACAAGCACAGATCAGCCGCTGAGGGAGGTGTGACTGAACATTTTGTCAGAGTTACTCCCTGACTTGTTGGCACAAGTGATTGTCACTCCTCTGAGAGAGAGTTAGAGGATCACAGTTCTGACTTCAGAGCCTCATCTCCGTCATCCCAGCTGATGGCGCTGATTGAAATCCTCCGCTTTCAGGCCAGCCAGGCAGCGCTGCAACAACTTGCACCCAGCTTCACTTTGTATGGCGCACACTACTATTGTCTGCACACACTGCAAGAAATAATTAGCCTGATCACAGCCTCCTTTCTCTTGGAACATACAAGACTGTCTACAAGTATATGTACACACACACACTGTATGTGGTTGAAGTTTCTTGCACCAAGATGCCACAACACACCAAAATGAAAGACTGTACCTCACTTATGTCTCAAGTTATCATGCTCACAACATGCACAGACAGAGATAGAAGGGTACTTCCAATTCCTCCTCTTCGCTCCTTGATGGGCGACAAGCTGCAAAGTTGCCTTTTGTCTCAACTCCATCTTTTGATTCTAAACCCAAATGTTTTCAGTCGACAACAAAAAAAGGAATTGGCCTCGCTGTTCTAATTGTTTTTCAAAAAGGGGAGTGTAAATTAATTAAAATGAAAGTGCCAACAGTAAAGGTCAGGGTTTAATCTAGTTCCCATTAATCCCAGACCAATGTTGTACTGAACGCAGTTTTTCCACATGAAACACAAACTAACTTGTTTAGGCTTTGTCAAGCCACACTGAAGGAGGAAAACACTTCTTTGAGGTCTACCCCTCTGGTTAAATTAGCTGTTCACAACATTTGCATACTTTAACTGGAGAATGCCAAGGTTAGTTCTACTTTATGGGTTGGAAAGTGAAAAGTTGAGAACCTTTCAATGAACACCCTGAAGGTTTTCAATAAAAAAAGGAAACCGAATTAGCCGTCTAATCCTACCTAGAGCCGTAGGAGTTACAATCCATGAGAAGGTACTGGTCTCCTCCCCACACACACAAGCACTGTACACGCAGCCATCGCAGGCTTTAAATGTGTACTGGTCAGACTCCGCTAGAGTTGCATTCACCTGAGAACATGAACAAACAAAAAAAAAGACGCTCATTCAAATGTTTGGACAAGTTTTGTCATCTGAATTAAAAGAAGCTACAGGTGTAATATTTACCGTAATGCACTGGGAAAGATAACTGAAGACAGTGGCCTTGAGTGTGAACTCCTCCCCTCTGATGACAGAGTAGGGCAAGGTGAGACTGACAAAGAAGGGCTGGAAGGCAGTCAGGTCGGCATTTGGCGCCACTCCGAAGCCCACAGAGGAGACGCAGAATGCTCCAGCTGCCCACTTAGTGATTGTGTCAGGGACCGTCTTCTGCAGGTCCACAGAGCCGTTTTCTCTGCAAGTGTGGACACGTAGACAGACCGAGTGAAAACTGGACAAGATACTGATTGTGTTTTTGGCATTTTGATGGTGTGAAAGCATCCACCCACTACTCGGTGTCCAATATTTGGTAATGGTTATTACTTAATTTGACCACTTCTAACTGAATATTTTAACTGAATATTTTAGTTACCCGACAGGGATCAGATCCCAGATCCAGGTCTCTGGGAAGTATGTTCTGACGGTCTCTTTATTCTGTGTACTTCCAGGTGGTGCAGGTGCTGCAGGTGCAGGTGCATTCTGCGGCATTGCAAAGCCGTTCATTGGTTGTGCAAAATCTGAAAAAATAAAAAATATAAAAAAAAAGGAGCTCATTTTACATCAGTTTTTTGACAGATACCATTCAGAAAAGTATTTATGGTTTCTTTGGGCATTCTGATATGATTCCCAACAAACACTGAACCAAGTTCCAGGTCACTACCAAAACGCTCTAGAGCCTTTTTTGCCCGAGTATTTTAAATGCAAATTTAGTGTAACAGCATCTACCAAGGATCACCAAGAATGAACAGTAACATAAAAAACGTACTCTTCTCAAACCTGAGCCAGGAGCATTCATAAGGTTTCCTCACATTAGAGTTTGTCACAATTTTGACTCCAATATTCTAGAAATGGGGGGGGGGGGGGGGGGGGAAAGGAAAAAAAAAATTATAGATTTAGTCTCATATAATTACACAAGTGACAAAAAAAAACAACTCAACTTGAAAATGGGAGCTCAATTGAGGCTCAAAATGCCCAAAATTACAACATAACAAATATAAAAGAAAACAGAATTTAAGGACAAAAAGTTCTACTAAATAAGTTCAAACTTTACAGTATAAGAGTTAAAGTCTAAATGAAGTGATATAGGAGAGGTGACAGAAAAAAAATGTAATGAGTGAAGACAATAGTGTTTTTGGCAAAATTGAGAAAAACAGACTGGAGGAAATAAAAATAGAAAGATGAAAATGCAAACTAGAGTAACCTAAAACTGATGAAAAGTATCGATGAGCACCCTGCCAAGGCAAGTGACCTAGGGGAAACACTGGAATGATCTATTTGAGCACATTTTGGCCAAAATTGACAATCCTGTGCAGGTTTATATCCGCCCTGAAACTGGAAAATAAATGTTTTACTTTAAAGATTCTGTAGACGTCTTCTTGATATGATGATGGGAAGAAAGGTGAGCGCTTTCGTCTTGATGGAGCCCCTGGTGTAGGCTCTGGCGTCAGCATTGGTGTTGGCCCCGACGTTGTCACTGGTGTTTGCTCTGGCGTCAGCATTGGTGTTGGCCCCGACGTTGTCACTGGTGTTTGCTCTGGCATCGTCATTGGTGTTGGCCCCGACGTCGTCACTGGTGTTTGCTCTGGCATAGTCATTGGCGTTGGCCCTGATGTTGGCATTGGTGTTGGCTCTGGCCCAGCTGCAGCTGGAACTTCAAACCTAGGGAATGGCCATGGCCTGGGAAAGCAAGGGAATGCCTCAGAGTCTTCCACCTCATAAGGGAATCCTGATAACTTCTGCACAGGCAGCTGGCTGTACACCTGTGTTACAAATACAAAAATAAAAATTAACAAAAAACTAATGTTTTTAACTCAAAACCATGTCAAAGCATTGTTAAAGACCCGCACATAGTCAACAGTGATCTCCTCCTCGGGTTTCAGCAGCAGGACGCTCTGGTCAATGGCTCTGACAGAACATAGGGACTTGCGGTGAGCCTTCAGGGTCAGTGTAGTTTGCTCTCCTGGAAGCTCCTGGGGGGCAGAAAACTTCAGGGATACCTGCACAGAAGACACCAAAGTACTGAGTTGGATCAGACAAAAGATGTCGATTTGGATGCAGTTTTCACGTATTTTCATGTTTTTCTACCTGGTTATTGAGGCAGAGCTGAACAGGGAAGTCCTGGCTGTCAGCCACTATCTCTCCACTTGGCATCACAGTATAAACCACCATCTGAGCAAATGGTGCGAGGTTTATCACTTGACTAAGAGTTATGCTGAACTGTCCTTTGTTGACTGGGGGAGAAAACATTAAAAAAAAAAAGGTCAAGAAATGGATGATAGGAAAGAAACTCATTGCTTCAAATATATTGTTGCCCTAAATCTTAAAACTTTGAGTTTTTCAAAAGGCAAATATTAGAGAACATTCACTTACTATGCTAATACAACTAAATACTAGCAAAAATGCTGAGCAGAGCCATCAAACCAATTAGCTGCAGGAACTTGTTATTATTATATATATATTTTTTTAAATTTTTTTATTGGTTTATTAAAATTTTTAACATGCAAACAAAAAAAAAGAACACACCGAACAATAAGCCCCTCCATCCCTCCCTTATCAGATCAGTCACACACACACACAACATGTAAAGAGCTGCCAGGTGTCCCAAGAATTTTTAACAGAACCCTTGCAGAACCCATAGCAACGGGCCCCCCAATCTCATACTCATTGAGCAACTCCCACAGTGTACCCCAAGGAGCACAGTCAAATGCCTTCTTTAAAGTTCACAAAACACATGTAGACTGGATGGGCAAACTCCCATGACCCCTTGAGGACCCTAGTGAGGGTAAAGAGCTGATCCAGTGTTCCGCCACCAGGACGGAACCCACATTGTTCCTCCTGGATCTGAAGTTCGACCAACGATCAGACTCTCTTCTCCAGTACCTGAATAGACCTTACCAGGGAGGCTATGGAGAGTGATGCCCCTATAATTTGAGCAGACCCTCCGGTCCTCCTTTTTGAAGAGGGGAACCACAATCCCATTCTGCCAATCCAGTGGCACTGCCCCACTGATGTCCACACAATATTACAAAGCCGTGTCAATCAAGACAGCCCTACAACATCCTGAGCCTTAAGAAAATCAGGGTGAATCTCATCCACCCCCAGAGCCCTGCTGCCATGGAGCTTTGCAACTACCTCGGCAACTACAGCCACAGTTATGAACACAGACCAACCCCAAAGTCCCCTGACTTAGCTTCCTCCATGGAAGATGTGTCAGTGGGATTGAGAAGATCTGAGAAGTACACTTTCCACCTCCCGATGACATCACAGGTTGAGGTCAACAGCACCCCACCTTCACTGAACACAGTGAAGATGGTAAAGTAGTAAATAACTGCTTTCCCCAACTCAGCCGCAAGATCGTTTGCCAGAATCTTCTTGGAGCCAACAGAGAGTCTCTATCCAAGGCCTCTCCGAACTCCTCCCACATCCGAGCTTTTGCCTAAGCAACAGCCAAGGATGCGGACCGCTTGGCCCTCCGGTACTCCTCAGCTGTCTCTGGAGTCTCACCAGCAAACAAGGGTTAATAAGGACTTCAACTTGACAGCCTCCCTAACCCAGGGTGTCCACCACAAAATTCGAGGATGGCCACCACGAGAAGCACAGACAACCTTTTGGCCACAGCTCAAGGCAGCCACTTCCAACAAGCGAGGTGTGGAACATGTCCCACTCAAACTCGATTTCTCCTGCCTCAGATGTGATGCAGTTAAAGATCTCCCGGAGGCGTGAGTTGAAAATTATTCTAATGAGTTTTTCTGCCAGACATTCCCAGCAAACCCTCACTACATGTTTACATCTACTGGGTCTGTCTGATACCTTCCCCAGCCCATTTGATCCAACTCGCTACCAGGTGGTGATCAGTTGACAGCTCAGCTCCTCTCTTCACTCGAGTATCCAAAACAGCCGCAAATCAGATGTCATTACTATAAAGTCTATCATCAATCTATGATATAGGGAGTCTTAGTGCCAAGTGCACTTATGGGCACTTTTATGTTTGAACATGGTATTTATGATTGACAAATTATGACTAGCGCAGAAGTCCAACAACAGAACACCGCTCAAGTTCAGATCATAGAGGCCGTTCCTCCCAATCACACCCCTCCAGGTCACACAGTCTCTACCCACGTGGGCATTAAAGTCACCTAGCAGAATAAAGGAGTCCCCAGCTGGCGCACCTTCAGCACGTCCACCAAGGACTCCAAGAAGATCCCATACTATGAACTGATATTTGGGGCATAGACACAAACAGTCGTCAGAGCCCCTCCCCACACACAAAGCTGCAGGGAATCCAACCTCTCATCTACAGTAGAAAACTCCAACACACAGGCACCAAGTTGGGGAGCTAAAAGTAGACTCACCAGCTCAGCGCATTTAATCATGGACAACTCCAGAGTGGAATAAGGTCCAGCTCCTCTCAAGGAGATTAGTTCCAGAGACCATCCTATGTGTCAAGTTGGGTCGAACGATATTAGTCGGTGCCTCAAATTCACGCACAAGCTCAGGCTCCTTCACCGCCAGATAGGTCGCATTCCATGTCTCAAGAGCCAGCTTTGGTAAGCCTGGGTCAGAGCATCAAGGCCCCTGCCTTTGGCCACTGCCCATAATGTCATGCACCTGACTTATGGCCTGTCCTGCAAGTGGTGTGACCATAGGAAAGGCAAACCCGTGTTACTCATTCTGGCTGATCCTGACTGGACCCTTTGGGTAAAGACCCAGTCAGTCACCAGACACTTGCAGACAAGCCCCTTCCCCAGGTCTGGCTCCAGGGAGGGGCCCCAGTAACCCACATCCAGGCAAGGGACACAGATTTCCTTGTATATTTCTGTCTTTGACTAAGTTTATTCTTCATCATTCTAAACAAACAATTTGTTCCATACCATCTCCTGCTGTAACAGCCACTGGAACACTATCATGACGCACAATCACTCCTTTGGCCAGTACCTACAAAAGCAGGGATTACAAGCAAATCTTTTTATTGATGCATGAACAAATCTACAATTCAACTCGTTTTGTACAAGAGACCAAGTGAAATGTAAGGCTTGATTTTTACTGTGCTAAACACATTTAGAGGCCAAGTATAGATCACCTTCTCAAATTAACAGATGTGTGGAAACGGATATAAACCCATGACCAAAAAAAAATAAAAAAATCCCACATACCAGGTAAAAGAAGTCGAGTGTCGTCCGTTTATCGGTCAGCTCGTTCTTCTGGATGATGTACTGAACTTTCAAAGTTGCATTTTTGTCACAAGGTAACCCGCCATCGACCCGCTTGAGCTCCAAAAAACTATTGCTTTTGGAGTAAAAAGGGGACACATACTGGTAGGCCGTCCCATAGACTGGTCTTCTTAAGTTGGGCACAAAAGGTTCAGTTTCTGTTCTTTCTGTAGTTGAAGCCTGTTTAAAAATGAGGTCAAAGGTCAAATCTCTGATGAAATTGAGCTCCTATTCTCAACCATAAACCAATAAAATCCTTTATTAGAATAAAGGCCACTGTGGACATAGTTCCACGTGTTAAATATATTTGTGTTTCCATGTCTACTGAACTTCTGAGGTTCATTTGATGTCAATTTTGTCATCTACAGAACCAAGAAGGTTCTGCAGATTGACAGATAAACAAAGCAAACCAGCTACATAGCAACATGGACTCATTTATAGTGGTACACTGACCGAGTAGAAAGACTATGCCCCAAGTATGGGAGGTTTAAGCTTGGCTGATCCAAAGTCTGGTCCCAGACAAAGCATGATCTAATTTAGTTGGTGCAAATGGAAACCGTGTAAACTGGGTCCAATGGCCAGTTAGCAATTTTTCCTGAAATGTTTCTGCAAACAAAAGAACTGCCACACATGCCAACTAACCCGCAGAGACACGGAGGCCGTCCAGAAGGTGGTGTCCAGAGAAAACAGAACAATGCCTTTCAGGTCTGTGGTGACTGTTAGCTTCTTAGCATTTTCAACAAACAAGTAGACCACCTGATTAGAAATAGGTTTGTTGTCTGGACCAACCACTTTGATCTGCAAAACAGGAAATAAAGGAAATATTTCAATGCATTTACAACAAGCTGCTCAGTTCTCACCATTCACATTATGCTGCTTTATTATACAGGCCAGACGGCAAATCTAAAAAGATTATGGAGTCGATTCCATTGACGTAAAAAAATAAAAATAAATTAAGACATTCATACTGGCTGAAAAACAAAAGGATCTTGTATGTCAGCCATCGGCTGACCCGTTTGCTAAAGATTGGCACTGGCATTTGCCACAGGAAACTCATTAGTCAGCCTCTACTTTGAATAATTAACAGCTTAGTCTATGATGCTGGTTTAGTGAGCCAAAACTGACTAATGGACTCTGCCTTATTAATTCTGTAGATATTCTAATACACAGATTAGCTGGTAGGTCTTGAAGGCAAATCGTATGGACTCCACCAAGGTTCATGGAAACAAAACAGGCATTCATTATGCTGATTACCTTTCCTTCATATGGAATGCCAGGCTTGTATGATGAAGGCACGTCTTCAAAGGAGATGGTCATCATCTCACTGGTGATACTGACAGTCCCTGTGCCTTTAAGAGTCACCCCTATTTGGGAGTAAATATACAGATTATAGCTGATCAGTGCTGCTAATAATTGAATATAAAATGTTCAAAGTCTTTGTCAACCTACCTGTGCCAAATTCCTCCAACTCAGCATTTATCTCCAAACTGTCAGAGTAACCATATGAGTTGAGGGAAAATGTGCCCAAATTCACAGTTTCTGTAACACATCCACTTTTATCTGTCTACAAGAGGATGAGATATATAATTTCAAAATATGCTGTTAATCAAAAACAATTACAGGAAGTGACAACTTTGCAAAAATAAAAACTTACCGTCTGTGTATAGCTTTCGCACAAATTGTTTCCTGGGATTTCTAGAAACCCGAAGGCTTGTCTGCAAATCTCTGCATTTATGCTACCAAGGACTGGTTTTCCATATGTGTACCTGAATGAAAAGGCACATGAAAAAGGAGATGTTTTTTGAATTTCACCTATTGTTCCGAGTAGGGGTGGGCGAGATGGCTCAAATAATAGTGATATTTCAGAGCATTCTGGCGATAATTTCATGATAAAAATTATTTTTTTTTTTTTTTAAAAAGCCCCTCCCAGAAATCATAGTTGTAATCTCTTGTAAATGAATCTTCGAGGCTCAATGTGATTTATCTGTTTAAAGGTTGAATGAATAGTTATGCATTTGACAAAATAAACTTAACATGTTGCTTTGCAGATTTCTATAAAAACTAAAAAAAAAAAATTTTTTTAAACACAAGGGTTAATTTTACTGAAATTAAATAAAGTATTCAGTCTCAAAGTATAAAAAAATAAATAATGATCCTCCTGTAATTTGGATTGAAAAAGTCTGCACAACATATAGATCAACAAAATCCACCACAAATATAATTTAAAAAAATAAATAAATTAATTAAAAAAAATAAAATAAAAAAATAAATAAAATGCAGGTGAAGTTTCCCAAAATAGCTGAATAAAATGAAGCTTAAGATCTGTTGAGCATAAATTTAACCTACAACAAAATGTATGTTGCCTTAAATGAGCGATAACTTCCAAAACTTGAGAAGGCGTCTTCAGCCGACCCTGAAGCTTGTGGTGTTTCAGCCTCCTCTACTGCAGGAATGATTCATTTCTTTGACTTCTGTCTATCATCCAATTCTGTTTTTGGTCCATGAACTGTGGAACGAAGACAGACCTGCGCGTATTTGTACCGGCAGTTTAGAGCGAGGGAGACGCAGCCAAGAGCTGCGCCTGCACCGGCAGCTCAGAGCCGGGGAGGGAGAGACAGTTGAGCCGTCTGTACCTGCAGTTTAGATCTGGATGGAGGAACGCAGCTGAGCCACGCATCGTTTTAAGCTTTTTAGGTAGCTAGTATTGGGCGCAACTAATTAGTGTTACGCTAGTACCAACAGGTGGAGGGGGGGTGCGCAGTTTGTTTTGGTTGTTCAGTGCACCACGTTCTGTTAATGGGGCGGGGCGCTTGACGCATTACGTCATGAAATTAGCATATCATGATGTCATTCATTTGCCCGGGGAAGCTTTTTTTAACCACGATATATGGCCCAACCTTAGTTCCAAGTATCACAACCAGTGCTTAATTTGAGCCGGGCCTGCCGGAACAGGACCTGGGAACTCTTGACAGGGTGCATTCCGGTAACCGTTTGCTAGGATCCGGCTTGGATCTAGTAACTCAGGAATACTAATAAGTTATGAACAAATATGCCTGCATGGAACGAATAAAACTTCTATCCAATATGTACATTGAAAATAATTACATAAAAAAAATTTTAAACATTTGATCTACCCCTTCAAGTGAAACACTCCCGCATCTACCCTTCAAAGAATTCTCCGCCCCTAAAGGAGTGGTGCGGGTGAGTGCCAAGCAGGAGCTCAGGCAGCAGCCTGGATGTTCACATGTGGAGTCTGACAACAACGAGCAGGGACAGAGGCGGGCTCGATTCAGAGGCGGACTTACTTGACGATTACGTCAAGTGAGAGAGAGTGAGTGAGTGAGAGAGTGAGTGAGTATGATGGATGCTCGACAGAAGTGGAATATTAACAAATGTAGGTAAACTTTGATGTTTAACAACCCGTTAAAATACACTAAAATGCAGTAAATCGCATCTACTTTATTCAAAATTTTCTGGAGGAGAACCTCCAAACCCCACCCCCACTATCATCGGCCTACCCGGAGCAGCAACATGGGTTAGCCTTCCTACAGGGCAACCACCTGCTGGAGGGGCCATAAAAAAAAAAAGTCAGGTGCATGACGCCATGGGCAGTGGCCTTGCCGCTCTGACCCTGGCTTACCAAAGCTGGCTCTTGGGAAATGGAACATAACCTCTCTGGTGGTGAAGGAGCCTGTGCTTATGTGCAAGGTTGAGAGGAACCAAATAAGATAGTTGGGCTCACCTTGATGCACGGCATGGGCTCTGGAAATAATCTCCTTGAAAGGGGATGGATCTTATTCTACTATAGAGTTGCCCATGGTGAGAGGCGCTGAGTTGGTGTGAGTCTACTTATAGTCTCCTGACTGGTGCCTGTGTGTTGGAGTTTTCCCACTGTAGATGAGGGTGGCTTCCATGTGCTTTCAGGTGAGAGGACAGGCTCTGAACTGCCATTTGGTAAATGGGCACAAAAACAGTCGCAGTATCCAGCCTTCTTGGATTTGTTTGTGGGGGTGCTAGAAGGTGCGTCAGCTGGGGACTCTGCTGGTGGACTTAAATGCCCACGTGGGTAATGACAGTGTGACCTGGAAGGGGGGGGGGGGGGGGGAAGACAGCCTCTGATCTGAACCCGAGCAGTGTTCTGTTGTTGGACTTCTGTACTAGTCGTAGTTTGTCCATCACAAACATTGTTCAAACATAAGTGTCCATAAGTGCACTTGGCACCAGGACGCCCTAAGCCGTAGATCGATGATTCACTTTGTAGTCGTTTCATCTGATTTGCAGCCATTTGTTTTGTACACTCTGGTGAAGAGGGGAACTAAGCTGGGTGGAGAGGAGCTGAGCTGTCAACTGATCACCACCTGGTAGGGAGTTGGATCAGATGGCAGGGGAAGATGCCGGACAGACCCAGTAGACCCAAACGTGTAGTGAGGGTTTGCTAGGAATGCCTGGCAGAAGAACCCATCAGAGTGATCTTCAAATCACACCTCCAGGAGAGCTTTAACCAAATTCCTGGTGAGGTGGGGTACATTAAATCCAAGTGGGACATGTTCCACGCTTCAATTGTTGAGGTAGCTGCCATGAGCTGTGGCCACAAGGTTGTCGGTGCTTCTTGTAGTGGCCATCCACAAACTCTGGTGGACAGCTTGGGTTAGGGAGGCTGTCAAGCCAAAGGAGTCCCATTAGGCCTTGTTGGCTGGTAAGACTCCTAACATAGCTGAGGAGTACCGGAGGGCTAAGCGGTCCATAGCCTTGGCTATTGATGAGGCAAAAACTCAGATGTGGGAGGAGTTCGGTGAGGCATTTGATAGAGACTCTTGGTTGGCTCCAATGAGATTTTGGCAAACCTTCAGGCACCTGAGGAAGTTAAAGTGGCTCTTTTTCCACTGTGTTCAGTGAAAGTGGGGTGCCGTTGACCTCAGTGATGTTGCCGTGAGGTGGAAGGAATACTTCTCAGACCTCAATCCCACCGGCCCATCTTCCATGCAGGAAGCGGAGTCGGGGGGACTTTGTGGTTGGTCTGTCCATAACCATGGCTGAGGTCACCAAGGTGGTTAAAAAGCTTCATGGTGGCAGAGCTCCGGGAGTTGATAAGATTCACTTTGATTTCCTTAAGGTTCTGGATGTTGTGGGGCTACCTTGGTGGACACACCTTTGCAACACTGTGTGGACGTCGGGGGCAGTGCGACAGGATTGGCTGACTGGGGTGGTGGTTCCCCTCTTCAAACCAAAAAAAAAAAAAAAGAAAAGGGGGGGGACCAGAGGGTGTGTTCCAATTAGAGGCATCACTCTCCTTAGCCTCCCTGGTTAGGTCTATTCAGGGGTACTGGAGAAGAGAGTCCCATCGGTCAAATCTCAAATCCAGGAGGAACAATGAGGGTTCGGTCCTGGCCATGGAACACTGGATCAGCTCTTTACCCTCACTAGGGTCCTCAAGGGGTCATGAGAGTTTACCCATCCAGTGTACATGTGTTATGTGAACTTTGTGAAGGCTTTCGACCATGTTCCTTGAGGTAAACTGTGGGGGGTGCTCCATGAGTATGGGATTAGGGCCCCATTGCTATGGTATGTTCGGTTTCTATACAAGTGGTGCGAGAGTTTGGTTCGCATTGCCAATAGTAAAAATAGGGCATCAAGTGTGGGAGTTGGATTCTGCCAGAGCTGCCCGTTGTCAGATTCTGTTCATAACTTATGGACATAATTTCTCAGTGTAGGCAGGGGGTGGAGAGAGAGTCCAGTTTGGTGGCCTCAGGATTTTTTTTCCTCTGCCATTTGCAGATAATGTAGTTCTGGTGGCATCATTGTGCCAGGATCTTCAGCTCTCACTGGAGCAGTTTGCAACAGAGTGTGAAGTGTCTGGGATGAGAATCAGCACTTCCAAATCTGAGGACATGTTCCTCAGCCGAACAAGGGTGGATTGAGCTCTTCGGGTAGAGGATGAGGTTCTGCCTCAAGTGGAGGAGTTCAACCATCTTGGGGTTTTGTTCATGAGTGACGGAAGAATGAAGTGAGAGACTGACAGACTGATTGGTGCAACATCTGCAGTATTATAGACTCTGTGCTGGTTCGTTGTGGTGAAGAGAGAGCTGAGCTGTAAGGCAAAGCTCTCAGTTTATCGGTTGGTCTACAATACTACCCTCACCCATGGTCACAAGCTCTGGGTAGTGACCGAAAGAATAAGATCGCAAATACAGGTAGTAGAAATTAGTTTCCTCTGTAACGTAGCTGGACTCTCCTTTAGAGATCACGTGAGAAGTTCAGTTATCCAGGAGAGACTTAAGTAGCACCGCTGCTCCTCCCCATCGAGGGGAACCAGTTGAGGTAGTTTGGGCATCTGGTAAAGATGCCCCCTGGGCACCTCCCTAGGGAGGTGCTTCGGGCATGTACGACTGGGAGAAGACCCCAGGGAAGACCCAGAACACGCTGGAGAGACTGTCTCGGTTGGTCTGGGAATGCCTTGAAATCCTCCCAGAAGAGCTGGAAGAGGTGTCTGAAAAGATATGTCTGGACCTCCTTGTTCAAGCTGCTGCTCCCGTGACCAAACTTCAAAACAAGCGGAAGATAATGGATGGATGATTTGCAAAATTCATAAACCCATATTTTGTTACAATGGAGCACAATAAACCCATCATGTTTAAACAAGTTGTACAACTGTTTTGAAAAAATGAAGTAGCTGACCGCAGCACATCTTAAAGTGATTACTGTCAAAAGAAGAGGGAATGATCAACAGTGTGGAAACGCGAACGACGTGTTAAAGCAAAAGTTTTTATTTCTTTTAAAATTAGGGTAAAAAAAAAAAATTCAAACATTTGAGATGTTTACCATGTTATGCACTCTATTCAGGTTTTTATTTTTATTTTTTATTCAACTGTGTTTCTCATCAATGGACCAACTGAGGACAGACAACCAATTTCAGACACAGAACAATGTTTTGTGCCGTAGAATTTTTCATCTAAAAAGTAACATGTTCACATCAGGAAACTAGAAAACCTAAATAGAGCAACACAGTGAGAGTTTGGTTATGTTCTCTCTCCAGCATACCCTTCACTCCCACTGCAGAAATTAAACTGCCAAATTCTGCAATTAAAAAAAATTACTGAATCCAACACATTTTGCTTTTCTTGAGAACAGCAGAAACTGCATTTGAATTGTAAAATTATTAAACACGCTCACTTACTTTCCACAAATCTTCATTGTGAAATTTGTATCAAGGATGGTTATCTCACTGGGCAGGTAAACGTTCACCTCATATTTGGGTAAAACTGTAATAATAAAAAACAGAATCAAGTCTTCTAGCAGCAAAGTACCACACTGCAGCTTGAAATTAGAGTTCAATTCATATATACACTGTATAGCGCCAACTCGCAACAGAAGTCATCTCAGGGCACTGCACAGAAACATTCATATACTGTATATAAAAATTAAGTTATTATTTAACTGAAGAGCAGACTGCTTTGAAGTTTAACTCCATCGCAGAACTCTCATCTTGAGCATGCAAGAAGTTTCAGTTATCGTAAATACAGTATGATGCAACTTTGTTTTCCTTGTAATGGTGTAACTGCTTCTCACCATACTCCTTGATCTCGAAGTTGTGGGATATCACTTTTCCTTCGTCCGTCACAGCGTTGATCACATATATTCCTTGTGGTGCCTCAGTAATAGTTGGATGGGAAAAGTCAAGGATAACCATGTCCTCTGTATCATTGCCGACATTGGACCACTGGGCAATGCGATTGGAATTTGGATCCTGCGCACAGTAACAATTTACATTTGCTCAAACATTTTTACAGAAGTGAAGGAAGTTGATAACTGCCGCCGTGTTCAACAATGTGAATGAAGGTATAATGGGAGGATACAGGCTACTCAACTTTTTGAGTAGGAGACCAACGGCTTAGAGTAGGAGGCTGGATTCATTTCAAACAAATGTTCGTTGCTGTGAAAATGTTGGTGAACGCAGACTAAACACTGACCACTGATGAAAACATCTTACCAGCATCACAGCCGAAAGAGTTCAGTCATTTATTCATTTGACCTCAAGTCTCATCGAGTCATGAGGACTCATTTTCAAGAAAAACCTGGTTTGGGAGCAGATGATGGGTTTAAGGGCCTTGCTCAAGGGCTCAGAGTGAGGCAAATGAGTGGAGGCAGGTGTGGGCGTTTCACCTTTCCGACACGCATTTTGATGTTTGTCTGGGGAGTTGAACCAGTGACCTTCCGATCATATGCTCACCTTCTATAACCTCTGTGCACCCACCACTCCCCTAAAAATCATTATCAGCAGCAGCTGTCAATGTTCTAGATCAAGATAACACTTTCAAGAATATAATACATTTCACATTTATCTTTATTCATCTTGCAGTCCCAGCTGAATTCATAGACCTCAAACTTCACTTAGTCTTCTGCAACTACAGACAAGACTGCGTACTCATCTCCTCACGCAGACTCATGTTCGTGCTGCTGTTCGGCGTAGTTTTGCACTGTTCGTGTTTAGCGTATTTCTTAGTTTATATCTTAGATTCTTATTACAATTTATATTTTTGCCATCGTTGGATGCAACTGGGACCCTGTGTACACAATTTCGTTCCTCCTCATGTACTGCATGTGATGTGAATGATAAAACCAACTTGAAGATCATGAAATCTGATCATCAAAAGCATCACATTGTGTACATTTAAATAAGACTGCTTTAACCCTTTATGACTATTCATGTTCCTCATTGAGGAAACCAACCACCTTATTTAACTGCTTAAAAATACTATACGACTCCCCCCACCACCACCACAATAAACTAGCCAATCTTTTAGAGCAGTCTGTCTGAAATATCTTGCAGAATAATGCAGTAGAGAACAGTAACCAAGATCATCTGGTTGATAAATGTAGACTTCTATGCAAACTTTACTCGATAAAACTGCTCCACTGAAAAAGTAATCAGGAGATTAGCTCCTTTGTTCAGTTCTGTGTTACATACTTTAACAGGCATCTTGAAAGCTGGAAAGAAAACTGCGCTACACTAACGTTGAGGAATTTTATTTATCTTGGGGCGATGGCCTGCTAACTTATAAAAAAGCTCTGTAAAGCTCGAACTATATATTATTCATCTTTGATTAGAATAAAAATAACCCCAGGTTACTTTTCAGTACCATAGCTAGTCTAATAAAAAAAAAAATAAAAAAAAAAACCACATCTGTTGAACTTCGCATACCTACAACTATAAGCAGTGATTAGTTCACGAGATTCTTTAATAAAAAATTTCAATTAGGGAGAAATTTCAAAACATCCTTCCTACCATTGCCTCTGGTTCCCTGTTGGATGGGGGGAAAAAAAAAAAAGTATAAATTTCACACTAGAATCTAATTTGTTTGCATTGTTTTTGTCCTGTTGAGCTTTCTGAATTGTCAGAAATAGCTTCATCCAAACCATCCACATGTCTGCTAGACCCCCATCCCAACCAGACTATTTAAAGAGACATTTCCCTTAATATCCATATTTTGGAACTGCTTAACTCGTCTCCAATGAATGGTTACGTACCACAGCACTTTAAATTTGCTGGAATTAAACTTGTACTTAAACTGGACTCAGGAATCCTGGCCAATTATATACCCATTTGTAATCCAACTTTCATCTAAAAAAAAAAATATTCTAGAGAAAAATTGTTGCAGGTCAGTTGTGTGAATATCTGCAAAGAAATAACCTGAGGAGTTTCAGTCAGGGTTTAGAGCTCATCATAGCACAGGAACAGCACTGTTGAAAGTAACTAAATGATATTCTCACGGCCTTCGACAATGGATTTGTGTCTACACTGGTCCCGTTAGACCTCAGTGCTGCATTTGATACAGTTGATCACAATATTTTACTACAGAGGCTTGAATATGATATTGGGATTACAGGAACAGCTCTAAAGAGATCAAAGTTGAATTGTTTAAAAAAAAAAAAAAAAGGGGGGGGGGCAGATAAGATTTTGTCTTCTTTCTGCTGCCTTTCATTTTAAATCTTGTATTTTTTTATATACACTTTATGGAATCGGGTTTTTTTTTTTTTTTTTAATGAATAAACTTTATACCATACCAAATTTGTTTAAAATCGTATTATCCAAGATTCCAATTTGTAAATAAAAATAATCTTCCTACTCAAAGTTAGTCATGGAGTTCTTCAGTGTTCAGTGCTTGGACCAATGCTCTTTACCTTATATTTCCATTAGATAAGTTAAACAGCAAGGGATAAATTTATCGTTATGCTGATGATAGTTATATTTGTCCATGAAACCCAATGAATAAAAATCAGCTACTTGGACTACAAGCATGTCTTAAAGACACAAAAACCTGGATGACCCTTAAATTTTCTGCTTTTAAACTCGGACAAGACTGGTTTGGATTTGTGGACCCGAGCATCTTAGGAATACATTTTTCAGTCTCTCCCTCCTTGGATGGCATTAATCCATCTTCAAGTTCTAATGTTAAAAATCTTGGTGTCATTTTTGATCAGGACATGTCTTTTATCCCCCACATTAAAAAAAAAAAGTTACTAGAACCTTCTTCCACCTGCGTAATATCACTAAAATTAGCAACATCCTACCTAAAAATGATGCAGAAAAACTAGTTAATGCATTTGTCACATCTAGACTGGACTATTGCAATGTTTGTTATCTGGGTTGGGACTTCTTTAAAAGTCTTCAGTTAATTAAAAAATGTTGCTGCCAGTCTTAATGGGAGTTCGTGGGAGAGATCATATCTCCCTAGTTTTAGCTTCTCTCCATTGGCTCCCTGTCAAATCCAGAATAGAATTCAAAATCTTACTTCTAACCAACAAAGCTCTCAACAACCTACGTAGCTCCATCGTATATTAAAGATCTTATTGTGCCATATTTTCCTAACCAGAGCACTTCGCTCTCAGACTGCAGGTTTACTTGTGGTTCCTAGAGTTTCCAAAAGCAGAATTGGAGGAACATCTTTCAGTTATCAGGCTCCTCTCTTGTGGAACCAACTTCCAGTTTCTGTCCGTGAGGCTGACACTTTGTCCAGTTTTAAGACTAGGCTCAAGACTTTCCTTTTTGATAAATCCTATAGTTAAAAAGGTCAGTGGTTAATCTGACCCGGATCAAGATCTGGAAACTCATTTTGACCACGTCTGTTCCGGCAACTCTTTGTTCGGATCCGGCAGCTCCACACCTAAAAGTTCAAAGTCATGGCGCATTTTTATTTTGATATTAAAATAAAACAAAAAGGAGACATTGCCCTCAGCCCGGCAGACCCAGTCTGGATATTCTAGCTGTAGCACATGCGGCAAACCAGCTACACGCTCCTTCGAGGAGCAGGAGAGGAGCCTCTAGGCTGGAGGGGGGGGGTTGAGGACAGATCAGATAGCGCACAGCACCTCTGTGCATAATGTGACCGAGTCGTCGTTTCCTCCTCCCCAAATAATGTCCCTCCTCAGCGGGGCAGCACACTGAAACCCACCCACTCTCAGACCCCCGAAAACAGAAATGATCATTTATTCAACAGAATAAATAAATGCCCTGTGGACAGTGTACGTTACGCACAGAAACGTCTCCAATCTCTACACAGCGCGCGTGCACACAGGTGTCTGAACTCCTGCTACATTTCAGATGTAATGAAAATATAAAAATAAAAAAAAGCTTCCTGTAAAAAATATTAAAAATACAAAGAAATGTTTGATGTGTGATTCACATCATGTCACGTTTCAAAACAGCACAAATTTGTTTAAATAACAGCGAACAGTGGTGATTTTATCCCCTTTTTGGGGGTGCTCAACCACCCCTAAGTGTTAACTCAGCACCCCTGAAATATAAAGAACAATTTAAGGAAACTTAGTTCTCAAACCTTAGATTCACCAAAATATTCAATGAATTTGGAATATGTAAAAAATGATGACACACTCAAACGGGCCAGTATTTGTCACAATTTCATTATCTTAGCCATAGAGTGTTTAAAAAAAAAAGACAATGCATATATGGCCTGGCTGAATATGAACTCCGTCTCTAAAATAGTTTTGAATCAAGTGTTTACATATACTTTGGGTAAATGTAGATGTTTGACAACCTGTTAAAATACACCAGAATGCAGGAAATGGAATCTACTTTATTCAAAGTATTCTGAGGGAGGACCCACAGACCCCTTCCACTTGTGCCCCCTCACATTACAAATGCTTCCGACACCAATCATGGGGGAAGACTCATTGTTGGCACCTTTATTCATAGAAAGACTAGATATAATATGAACTATATTAGGAGTGGCTGTGGCTGAGTGGTTAGAGCAGTCATCCTTCAGTGCAAGAGTTGGGGGTTTGATTCCAGCAGTCACATGCTGAAGTGTCCCTGGGCAAGACACTGAACCCCTCATTGCATCTGACGTGTCCCAATGGTGTATGAATGAGATTTTAAAAAGCCCTGATTAGTCTTTGTAGAGATCTAGTAGAGTGCTGTATGAATGGGTAAATGACAGATTGTGTTGTAAAGAGCTTAGAGTCTTGATAAAATAGAAAAGGCACTGTACAAGTACAGTTCATTTAACATTTACCACTTCACTTACATTACATACTGTACATGTACGTACTTTATTTCAAATGATTAAGAACAAGCTACTGCTACACTTCCTGTTTGACAGAAATTGACCAATCACAGACTATGCTACACCAGATGTGCAGAAAGAACATTTCAGGACACAAACCATCATACAGCAGAAATAATAAAAACTAAGAATGCAAAATATAAAATCAAATTTAATAGAAAGTACACCTGAGTGTGGACGTAAACATTTTTTGAAAAAAAAAAAAACCAAACTAATTGCAATCAAACACATTTTTAAAGTGTGCATTTTGGCAGCCATTATGGCTTTAATAATCAGAAAAAGAATGAAAATGCTTTTACATTTGTTTATATATTCTGTTTTTGTACTCAGTAATGCATTGATTTAATTTTTATTACTTTTAAATATATTTGTCAATTGTACACAGATTTCAGTTTTTCTGCACTCATTTCTTATCTTCCAAGTCTGCTTCCTTTTCACTACCTGATTTTTTTTTATGTCAAGCTTAAATAAATAAAACTACCATCAAAATTCTGAAAAAAAAAGTGAAGTGAGCAGATTTGAGACGACAAGTGTCTCAAATGCCAATCTAAGTATTTAGAAATGAAAGTGTCTTACCTGCAGCGTCACTTCTGTAAACTGAAAACAGAAGAAAAATAAAGGAATTTAAACATTTAACTTGGTATGATGCAAACAAAAAACAACGCTTCAATTTTTTAAAAGACATGTTTTATAGTAAAATGTATCATGAATTAAATTAGATCATTTTGCCAAATGCAAATATTGTTTCGTCTCAAAACGTTAAATTTGAACTTCAGGGACAGGCAACTTTAAATTTTATAATATAAAGCAGCAATGTTAAACTTTAAACAGGTAGTGTATTTTAAGTGAAGTTCTGTCAAATAATTACCAATAGTTGGTATTTTATCAGCCATTACATCAGCTACAGAGCAGGAAGTATGGAGAAAGAGGAAAGTCTTCATCCCTGCTAGGCTAATGGCTAGCCAAACGAGGACCTGCATCTTTTTCAGGCTTATAAAAACAACTAAAGGTTGAGGTATCCATCGTCATTTCTATACGTTTGGAACTTCATTTGTCGTTTTCACTTGAAACTAAAATTCACATCATTTCAAAGTGATCACATTTTCAATAGCCGTTTTCTCAGTTTAACATTTCAGTGTTAAAAAAATTCAGCCTTATCAAAACTCAATATTTTTAGTCTCCTGAGATTCAACTGGCTCAATTTTGCCGTCTGAAATTCAGTGTTTAAAACTGCAGGGTTACTTCAGGTCACAGACATTAGCAAAGGATGTCAGAATCCAACACCCAGCCAATCCAATGTCTGAAGTAACCCTGCATTTTTAAACACTGAATTTCAGACAGCAAGTTCAATCTCAAGAGATTGAAAATATTATTTGAATTTTTAAAGACTGAATTTTTTATATGCCAAATTTTTTTAACACTGAAAACAGCTATTGAAAAATGTGATCACTTGGAAATAATGTGAATTTTAGCTTCAAGTGAAAATAAATGAAATTTCAAACTTATGGAAATAATGACAGTAAATTTTATTTTAGGTTAAAAATGTATTCCGAATACATTTTAACACTGAAAAATTAAATACAAACATACAACATTAAAATTTCAGTGGCATTTTTAATTCAAATCCTAGCGGCACATATTTACTTCCATAGTATTTCTAATGTGACTGAATGTTTAATCTGCTGTAGTTTCTATGCCACATCACCAGGTGGCGCTGTGATTCGTTTCACACAAACGTCTCAGTCATACATGGAAAAAAGTTGCATCCAAAAGGTGAATACATGATTCTTTGGACTGGAAGAGGCTGGGTCCCTCCTGCACGTTAAAAAGGGCGACCAGCACAAAGAGTTTATGCTATCCACCATTTTTACGGGCTTTCATTTAATCGCACAGAAAAACCCATTTACTCCAACAGACTATAGTGCACATGCGTGATCTCACATGGATGCTAGGCATTTCCTTAAACTTCCACTCCAGAGCTGGACCCAAAAAGCTTCATTGTCTGAGAAAATGAGCTCTGTTGTCGTACACAAACGGGAAACTCAGCAAAAATGCTACGGTTTCACCTAAAAACGCCATCGAGGAAACAAATATAAAATTGGCAATCATTTTGCTAGTTATTAGCCAAGCTTAAATGTGTGAAGAATTGCCGTTTTATTTATCATTTTAAAGCAGATCGGATTTACCACTTTCGAACAAGCTACTTTCACCTTGCCTCATCTTTCATGTGGATCATATGGAAAGTCTGCAAGCAGTGACGTTTTCACCGTCTCATCAGAAATGTAAAAAGGCCCGTGTCGGTATTGATTCAGATGTTTGGGTCAAATGTGGTGTGTGCCAAATGAACTCTGACAGTGTGTTCATCCCACTACTCCACACAGCGCTTCACACCCACGCTGCCTTCCATCAACAAACAGCCCTACTTTCACCTCCCACTCTGAACCAAAATAGACCTCAGTCCTCACATTCACAGACTGCTCTCCAGAAATCACAGTCAGGGAGTTGGACACATTCAGAGATGAGTCGATTGAAACGTACCAGTTGCTGTACTGGGAGGAAGTTGGCATCCATGGAAGCAATCCGGAACTTGACTGTAAAAAAACAAGAGATCTGTTTAACGCAGGCTGTTGATCCATGTGAGGCGAGAAAAAAAAAAAAAAAAAAAAAAAAAAATAAAAATAAAAAAATAGAATAAATTTCACCCACCACCTTTCAGGCCAAAATTTTAGATTTAGTCAGATTATGAAGTGGTGGCCATTTTGGTTTAACCATGAAAATAACACTGAGGAACTTGTGCAGTTATGCGAGCTGTCAGAGTATTTGTTGTGAATAACTCGGCAATAATGACAAAATTTTAGCTCAATGTCTGTTAATTTATCTGAATTAAACATCTTTAATCTCTACGGCTGACTTTCATTCCTCTTCTTTCAAGTGCATACCTCCACCTCTCCAATTTCTCTTCCACCAGTTTCCTGTTCTCACCACAGATCACAATTAGGGATGCAACGATCCACATTTTTTACTTCCGATCTCGATACCTAAATCTAAATATCGGCTGATACTGATCCAGTTCCGATATAATCATCATCATCATCATCATCATCATCATCATCATCATCATCAATTTTATATGGAGGTTGTAATAATCTCCTCTCAAGTACAATTTGTACAAATATATGCTGTCCAAAAAAGCAACTTTAAGTTTTATTAATGTTGGATAAGTTTTAAAGTTAGAATTAAATTCTGCTAACACAAAACGTGTTTCTTTTTATTCCTAGCTTTAAAGTGGATATTAAAGTGATTAATTTAAGTGATTTAAGTTATTTTACATTTTTTAAATAAGGGCTTTAAACATCTGCTAAGTTCATGGCATAAACCAACAGGCATGTTCCTGTTTTTAGCATTTTACATCATTTTATAATGTAGCAGTTTGTTTCACATACACACACACACACACACACACTTTCTCTTCTTGTAATTTTCAAATCGTATGTTTTTTTTTTATGATTGCCTACAGTTAAATATCTCCTGGAGGGTAAACTATATCTTGGCTGCAAGTATCAAACTGTGAAATCCTTTGTTTTCTACAACTGATAGTGGTTGGTCATTAATTACGATGAAGTTTAGCAACTTCTCTGTAAATATTTGAGCTCCGGGGCTTCAGCGATGTCTTCTTCTTGTTCAATCCAAAGCACGAAGTCTGATCTCGGTCAGCCGCGCTCAGTCTGCCCCTCCTCCGACACAGAAACTGAGCGTGGCTGAAATCAGATTGCCTTCTCCGGACTGAACGAAAACAGACTACTGAAGCCACAGAGCTATAATGTCCAACATAAAAATAAAAAAAAACTAACTTTACCACAGTTTAATGTGGCGCTATGGCTCTGCAGACATCGCACGTTGCTGTCTTGTTTTGTGGCGTTTAGTGTAAAATACTTCCACACAGCGGACACATATTTAGATGAAAAGTTGGTTAGCTGTTAGCTACAGTGCTGCTAACTCAGTCCTCACGTTGTAGCTGGCTGCAAACTATGAAATGGATTTCCTGACTATGAGGCGGGTCTTATTACTCTGGGTTAATGACAGACCTCCGTTCAGGAAATCCTTTCCATAGTTTGAAGCCAACGTGCAGCGCAACCACAGACATGCATGCATCGGAAATATCGGCAGGTTGGATCGGAAAATCTGATACTGAATCGGCCCCATCCCCAATTGCAATGTCATCTGCAAACATCATCGTCCATGGGGATTCCTGCCTGACCTCATCTGTTAGTCGGTCCATCACCAAAGCAAACAAGAAGGGGCTCAGAGCCGATCCTTGATGCACTCCCACCTCCACTTTGAAGCCATCCATCACTCCTACAGCACATCTCACCACTGTCCTGTACCAGTCTAACATACTTCTCTGCCACTCCAGATTTCCTCATGTAATACCACACCTCCTCCCTCGGCACTCTGTCATTGCTTGTTCTAAATCCACAAAGACACAATAGAGTTCTTTCTGACCCTCTCTGTATTGTATGTCATTGAATATTTGAGTCAAAAACTGGTATTTCATCAGGTCCCAATGCCTTCCCCTTTATTCTTTTCAGATATTTCCAGACATCACCCTCACTAATCTTTCCCACTTCCTGGTCCACAGATACAAAGACGTGTATTCTTTCATTCTCTTCATTTATTAGCTACTCAAAGTACTCATCTTCCCATCACTCTCCTCACTTGTCAGAACGTTATTCCCATCTTTAACAAGTCTGACCTGCTGCACATCCTTTCCAGCCCGATTCTTATGTCTTGCCAATCGGTACAAGTCCTTATCCTCTTTAGTGTCCATCCTCCCATACAACTCATCATACACCTTCTGCTTTGCCTTGGCCACCTCCCTCTTTGCTCTACATTGCATCTCCTTATATTCCTGTCTCCTCTCTTCAGTCTTCTCACTGTCATATTTCTTCTCGACTAACCTCTTTTTTCGAATAGTGTCCTGCACTTCACCATTCCACCACCAAGTTTCCTTATCCATTCTCTGTCCAGATGACACACCAAGCAGCTTCCTACCCATCTCTAATTACCGTTGCTGTAGTAGCCCAGTCATTTGGAAGCTCTCTTACCACCCAGAGTCTTTAACAGCTCCTCTCTGAATTTCTCACAATGTTCTTCCTTCTCCCACCATTTAGTATTTGATTTTACCTTTTTTCTCTTCTTCACAACAACAGTCATTCTACACACAACCATCTGATGCTGTCTGGCCACACTCCCCTGCCACAACTTTGCAGTCTCCAATCTCCCTCAGGTTTCCTCTTATACACAGAATGTAGTCGACCTGCGTACTCCTCCCTCCACTCTATATGTCACCATGTTCCTCCCTCTTTTGGAAATAAGTGTTGACTACAATCATTTCCATTCTCTTGGCAAAATCCCCCACAATCTGTCCTTCCTAGTTTCTTTAAGATTTTGAATTCTATTACTAGAACTAAAGTTAGTACTTTTTAAAGTAAGTAACTCAGAATTGAACCAAGGAGCCCGCTTCCTTCGATTACGCTCTCAGCGGAGCAGTTTTATCAAGTGAAGTTTACATTGACAATGTAAAATGAACAAGATGATCCAAGTCAGACAAATACGTAGACGTCTTGTTGAGCAGGCTGGCCTGCTGCTGCGGTACGTCGGAGCGTCCGCCATTTTAAATGTGGCGGAACTGCCGGTCAACTAATACAAAGAAATGGACAGACCTTCATAAAGCACTGTTACACAAAGTGTTTGAAGTTGATGCCCGTCATTCACACACCAATATATTTCAGAAAACAGGCACCCAAGACAACATTTGTAACCTTTAACTTTAAAAGTTAAACAGGCATCAACGTCAAACACTTTGTACAACAGTGCTTTATGAAGGTCTGTCCATTTTGTATCAATGACCAGCAGTTCTGCCACATTTTAAACAGCGTCCACGTCGACATACAATTCTGCACCCCGAGGCATCCATGTATACGATCCAGATCACTGCGCCTTACTGCATTACTTTGTAAGACAGGAAAACAACGATGGAAGAGAGTTTAAAATTTGATCACAGCGTTCTCTGATAAACGACTGCTATAATTAAATTTACTCTCAGTGGCTGTGTAGTCCGTTAATGTAAACTCAAACTTTATTTAAAAATGGTCAGACAGAACAGGATTTTGAGGATGTATTAAGCACTTTTATAAAGTATGTACAGTAACTTGTAGGATTTTTAAAGAGGAGGACCTGAAGAAAACGTAAAAATTAAGTAGAATATTCCTTTAGTGATAAGGAGTGTCTAAATGACAATTTCCACTTTTTACATCAAGTATAATAAAGCTAAAAGAATTTAGCTATAATGCACTGTTGGTTGTTTTGTGTCCTGCAGAGGAACTCTAGAGCAGATGAAGTGCATCTGGCAAGGCCTCGAGGAAACAATCCTTCTCACGAGTGAATTTCAAAATAATTTAACGTTTTCAAGTGATTGCTCTGCATTATGCAGAGACTATAAAGTAGTCTAAAATTGTGTACAGCTGAATTAATAAGCAGTGCAGAGCGGACAGGATGAACAGCAAGACTGCAGAGCTTTACACATTTCCCTCCCTGCTGGAAGCCCCAACACTTGCTCACACTCTGAGGACATTGTGGTCATAGGGGATGAGATGCGTACCGGTTTGTCCAGGTTTGTAGATGGGTTTATCAGTCTGAATGATGTGGATGAGATCCGATGGCTCAATGAAGACTTTAGTGCGATTGGTCATCGAGGCGCCCACACCCTGAAGTGATATCTGGATGGTTGCCACAGTCTCAGTTTGGACCACAGGCACCTGAAACGCCAGAATACATTTTTTATTTAGAGCTGGCAGGAGTGAAGGAAGTGAATGCTTTTGTCGTGAAATGTTGTGAAATCTGAAATGTGTAATGACAGTAAAATCATGAGCTCTGCTGACTGCAAAACAGACCTTAACATAAATGTTACATTCTTGCTTTGCTTGCCAGTAAAGCTTTTCATTTCATAATATGGGCTGGAACTTCCTCCAAAGCATTTAAGGTGCCCCTCCAGCACAGATCTGCGTTTTGAGACTTTGAGTCAAGGGTGAAGGGTGTTCAGAAGAAGAAGAATGCTCGTCGTCTGGCAGAACACACTGTTCGGCTGCAGAGACGTAAAGACCAAATCAGTCCTGAATCCAGACCAGCTGCTGGAGTTGTTGGGAGAGAATATGCAAATGTTCTTAAAAAAAAAAAAAAAAAAAAAGTCTACTTTTCTGCATAAATGGTGCCTTTCCAAATGTGCAAGATGAATCATGCCAGAGGCACTAATGCATCAAAGAGCCAAGCTTTGAACTGTGCACCGACTACAGGTTGGCTGGTCCCTCTCCTCACAAGTACAGACAACAAGTCTGTGGTTTTCAAAAATAATAATGATATTACATTTTGATTTATCTGACCACAGAACTCAGTTTATTTTTAATGAGTTTAGGTGGAGACAAGATGATGTTTCTGGATAGTCTTCACATATGACCTCTTCTATGACTGAAAGAACCGTGAGCGATGTGTGTGAATGGTATGGTGAATTCAAATCAATCCAGTTTATTTATATAGCGCCAAATCACAACAAAGTTGTCTCAGGGCACTTCCAATGATCCATGTGTTCCTGAGCCCATGCAGTGATGTCCAGAACAGAATCAGACCCATGTTTAATACAGTGGCCCCCGAGAGCCCGAAGATCAGATCACAGGTATCCAACACGGACTTTTAACTTTGTCCTTTAAGCTCAGATTTAGTCAAACTGGAGATGATGGATATTCAAAGTCTGTCCAATGTTCCATCGAGAACCTCTCATTTAGAAGGCAGGTTTTCACAATCTGGTAACTTCTGCCCATCTAACTGTCCTTTCACTGACCTGATGACAATTAACCAAAGTAGTTACAAATGGCTCCTCCAGTGACACTTGCTGCCCGTCCCAACTCTTTGAGATGTGTTGCTTCCATCAATTTCAAATACACTTTTTATTATTATTTATTTAAATGGTACTTCTTAAACATTTGTTGCTTCATTGTGAATAAGATATGGGTTTATGAGATTTGCAAAAATCACAAGAGTTTGTTTTTATTTCCTTTTTACACGATGTCCCAACTCAACCATAATTGGGGTTGTACACCTTTTAAAACATTTTAAACTGCGCTCAGATCTTGTGCTTCACCATCGCTGTAGGTTGGGGGCTGAGATGGGGTCGAGGCAGGGCAGTCGACCCAGGGACCCGAAAATCCCAGGTTCAATCCCCAGCCATTCCCACATGTTGTGTCTGAGCAAAACACTTAATCCCCAATTGCTCCCCGGGCGCTTACAGAGCTGCCCACTGCTCCACCTGGGTGTATCCCAGGTGTGAAGGGTTAAATGCAGAGAACTAATTTTGTCATAGTATGGGAACATACAATGATACTACTACTACCACTACATGAGGCATTAAAAGACTAATAAAAAAATAAATAAAAACAAGGCAGACCTGAAAGTTTATGCAGCTGTAAAAGTCCTTGTTGATGCTCTCCTGCAGGATGACATGGTCAGTTGAGTCCACATTTAGAGAAATATTCAGAACGACGCCCCCTGTAGGATTCTGGATCTGGGCACATAAGATTTCCTCTTTCCCTCCTCTCAGACGGGAGCTCACCGTCACCATATAGGTACTGAAAGACAAGAGACCTGATAAACATCTGGACAACACATCGCCTACTGAAGTTCCTGGTGCTCAGAGGAGCCGACACTTTCATCCACTAAAATCCTTCAACTGAGCAAATGAGTTAACCCTGGAGAAGCACTTCATGGATAGTTTTGATTTTTATAAAAACTGCATGTACATAACAAGTCAGTTATATGCAATTTGTTTAACAGAGCTTAATCTGCAACAAACTCAGCCACATTGTACAACAGGACCTAAACCAACGTCGTGGAAACCCTGAGGTAATATGGCTCAGAAATGTGGCACATGGAGATCCACTGACGGGATCTAATGAGACTCCACTCAACTTTTTAATTGTCATTTAGTTCCTATAATCTTTAATGAAAGCCGTTTTTACTGCAGTGTACAATAAAACATTTTGTTTCTTTGAGGTCTGACATATTTAATGCACAGGATTTAGTTTAAAAACGCATCAAGTTGCATAAAAATTATCATTTGACAAGAGATGAATAGCAAAGATAAAAAGGGTTTATTTGGACTTCTCTGCAGCGGTATAGTGAAGACGGTATCAGTGTCACCCCTGGGTTTCTGGCCTTGGGAGAGGGTGTCGGTTGTCAAATACAAAATAAATAATCAGTTATGAAAAATAAATGACAGCTTTTACATTTATTCTGTCCGATCCGTTTGTCTAGTTGGCTTGTATGTGCTAAAGGTCATGGCTTGAAGACACCAACACAACCACATCATCTGCAAAAAGCAGAGCAGAGACCCTGAGACTTCCCAAAAATGGCACCTTCCTCGTCATGACTGCACCTTGAGATCCTGTCGATGAACACCACAACAGGACTGAAAACAAGGGACAACCCTGGCAGAGCCCAGAAGATCCTAGAACAGGGGTCTCCAATCTTTGTGATTAAAAAAAAAAAAAAAAAAAAATACATTTCTGCCACTTTTTTCACTAATTACGATGTCCGGAGCCACAAGACCAGCTGCAACTGTGTACTGTCAACTGGTGGCCTGTGGACCACAAGTTAGTTGGTGATGGCTTTATCAGCCAGTGGGGGTGATCTTATGAAACAAAAAATGTCTATTAACATTTGATATTTTTACATTTAAATACAAATAAAAAAAAAATAAAAAAAATCAAAGTCATGTAAAGAAAGAATTATATAATTTTAAAACAATTTTATAAAAATTAAAACCTTGAACTCTGCAGGCCGATGAGTTCTCTTAATTGTTGAAGAATTAAGTATCCTACTTAGAGAATAAAGTTAAGACAGTATAAAATCAGACCAGATTGTTGGATATCCAGTTACATTTTTAAATAAAACATAAAACTTTAATTTGACTTGCATTTTATTTTTAGTATTATCAAAGTTACTCTCCACATTCCTTGTCAGCAGCTCGTCTTAAAGATATTCCAAAACATTCTGGTGGTTTTCACAGAAAGATCACGCCGAGAGATGGAAGTTAACTTAAAGTGGCTAACAAACTACTAGCATGATGCTTCACATCTTGAATTGGTACGACTCTTCAGATATTTGAAAATGACAGGAAATCTTTTAAAACTAGCCATTTTCATCGTTGGTAATAATTTAAATAAAAGTTTCAAGTTAGTTTTGGTCAAAGCCTGGAAGAACCGCTGCAGAGGGACCACATGTGGCTCCAGAGCCGCAGGTTGCTGACCCCTGTCCCAGAAGGTGCATCTGCAGTAGAAGTCCTGAACACAGAACAGAGTCCATGTTCTTATCATCCTGTTCAAGTTGAGTAATGTAGAAAAACAATTTCCAACACTAAATACAAAAAAATAATAATGCCAAAATTTGTCATTTCAAAATTAATTGAGTTTGTATGTCAAATTTTAAAACCCAGTAGTTTAAAAAAAAAAAAAAAAAAGAGAGATCCAAAAATGAAATTAACTGACATTTATCATTCAACCTTTATTTAAGCAGGTTAATCCCATTGAGCCTCGGGGACTCATTTACAAGAGACACCTGATTTTAACAAAGAAAGATAACAATGGACAACATTAAAACTCAATTCTGTTTTTGAAAGTCAAAAAGTATTCAAAATTCATAAATTACGACTTTATTTTTTTCCTATATTAAGTTTAAAACTAAGACTTTGAAAGTCATTTATGACTAACTCATAATGGGCTTTAAATGTTTTAAATGAGCTTCACAGAAATTTTTTTATGAATTATGAACGCCAAAAGTCACAATCACAACTTTAAAAAACTTAAAATAAAGACACAAGCTCGTTATTATGAACGCCTTAAACACTCAATGACTGATTTTTCCTAATTAGTGCCACGTGCAGCAGCAGGTCAGGTGCAGCGCGAGCTCGCAGCGGCAGATCTGAAACACTCACGGGTTGTTGCTGTCGCCTGATGACGCAGTTAGCATGAAGGCTGCCGCGAGCAGCGCTGTGATCCACAGGGCAGGTGCCATGATGTCTGTGGAGCCGGGTCAACCCGAGCGGACAGAACCAGGAGCAGGAAGAAGAACCAGCTCGTTGTCCAGACTCAGACAGAGAGCGATATGGTCCAAACACGCGGGGCAGAACTCCTTTTATAGACCCGAACCTCGTCGACTTCAGCCCCCCTCTTTGTCTGTCACTCCCTGTGGTTCGTTGGTAATTAGCAGCCTCCTCCCCTTCCCACAAGTTGCCAAGATGTCACTTTTCCAGTTTCTGAAGAATTTCTCTAAAATATGTTTGTTTATTTTTCTGTAAGTGCAACCTGAAGGAAAAAAAAATAAAAACACAATGGACCCAAAGGTGAAAATACCAGGACACTGATGGAGAGCGTGGCGTTTTGGTTGGACTGGTTTGTAAAGAACAATCAAGAAGCCTGAGGGTCAGGGTGGCTCCATCCCTGGAATCACTCCTTTCAGTCAGAAGCTAAAAGTAACCCCTCATTTAAAAAAAAAAAAAACTCCCTAAAGCAAAATACATTTACAAATGTTCCTAGAACGACGACTTTACTTGACAACAACAGGTCGAGGTGGAGTAGCTGCTGTCTTTCAATCAAGATGTGCCTAACCTGTATAAATAAAGGTTGAATGAATTGATGTATGCTTAACCAATGATTAGGATTCGGTTGAGTCTAAACAGTAGATGATAGGTCAGATGATCCCTGATGCAGCCTAACATTTTTACGCTGATGATACAGTAGTTTATTGTTGAGCTAAAACAGTTGCTAAGTTTTGCAATCTTTTGACATCCAGTCAGATTTGATCCGTCTCAGACTTGTCCTAAATGCAGAGAAAACCAAAGGGATGTTGTTTTCAAACAGGAAGTCAGTTCCAGCAATTCTTCCCTCGATTTTATCTTCAAATGGTGTCCCTATTGAGTTTGTTGATTCCTACAAAGGACAACACGGTGGCACAACTGGTAGAGCTGCTGTCTCTCAGCGAGCAGGTTATCCTGGTTCATAGCCCGGTCCGGGGGTCTTTCTGGGTGGAGTTTGCATGTTCTCTCCGTGCATGCGTGAGTTTTCTCCGGGTACTCCAGTTTCCTCCCACAGACCAAAAACATGCATGATAGGCTGATTGGTAACTCTAGATTGTCCCTAGTGAATGGTTGTTTGTCTCGTTTGTCTCTTTGTGTCCCTGTGGTGGACTGGAGACCTGTCCAGGGTGTCCCCTCGCCTCTCACATAGTGGACATGGGCACCGGTGACCCACCACGACCCAAATAAGGAAGAAGCAGGTAAAAGATAATAGATGTTTGAATTCCTACAAATACTTGGGTATCTTAGTCGATTTGCATCTCTCTTTTAAGCTCTGCGTCAAAAACTTGATAAAGAAACTGAAAGTTAAACTGGGCTTATTTTTCAGAAGCAGATCCTGTCTAACTCTGCACTCCAGGAAACACCTTGTATCTGTGACTTTCCTTCCCTCCATTGATTACAGTGACATTATTTACACGAACGCTCCTACAAGAACCCTGCAGATGTTGGATGCTGTCTATCATGGTGCACTAAGATTCATAACTGGCTGTGATTATCGTACCCACCACTGCACCCAGTATTCACTGGTTAAATGGACATCATTAACTTCACGCAGACTCTCTCACTGGTACATTTTCATCTTTAAATCACTTCTTGGTCTTTTGCCTTCATACATCTCCTCCTACATGTTTCTGTGTGAGTGCAGCTACAGTGTGCGCTCTCAGGACATTATTACCTGCAGTGTTCCCTCAGTGCGGACTAAAGGCCCCAGCATTCTCGGGCACATGTCAGTTCGCGGAGGTCCGCCCGTACCAGATTAGAGTCAAAGCAGACGCCCACAGGGTATTTCCGTGTAAAGATAAATTTTACGACTGCGTACACGTACTTAGTGTCGCACAATAAACTGACCGGCAACGAACTGTTTTGTACATGACATCAATGTATTAAATTCCCGTTTATCCCTGATCTGGTTTAATGGCTTTTTTTTTTTTTTTTGACAAGAGGCAAGCGATCTCTTCCTCCTCCTCCGTTGACGCCACAACTGAAATGGTGAGAAATTAAGGAATTTGTCATGAGCGAATAAAATCAGGTCCAGTACGGCTGTGGGAGGGTCTGGAGATTTCCTGGTGGGCTGGTCTGATGTGTGGGCTGCAGGGCCAGCGCTCCCTGTTTTTTTTTTTTAAATTTTATTAGAACTTTTTATTTACAACATATAAACCCAAAACACCGCTGCGGATGGGGTTGCCAGCTCTTGGTATTTTTTTGCAACCTGTCAATCAGTCCAGTAGGCGTGTCAGCAAATGACCAATCGGTGACCTCATTTTGTCCCGAAGGTAAATGCCCCTTGTCTGCGGAGCTGACTGCAGCTGCTTAAGGTGGATGCTCGAGTATGAAGTTTGAACCCTTTGCAGACAGTGCACGTCGAGTCCACACGAAAAAAGGTCCACCCGAGTATACTGGGGCCTTGAACTAGGTAAAAGGGCCTTCTTCTACTCCGCTCCTGTTTCCTGGAATATCTTGCAAAAAGACCTGAAGCTCTCAATCTTGACCTCTCTAAGTGGCTTCAAACATCTGTTAAGTTCATGGAAAAAAACAATGAAGACATGTTCCTGTTTTTAGTATTTTATATTGCTTTGCAATGTACAGTAGCTGTTTTTGTTTCGTTTTTTCATATAATTTTCTTTCATTTATTTTTCCCAATTTATATGCTTTCTTTTATGATTGTATATTGTTGTCATTGTTTTCCATTGTTGTCATTATTCTTTTTTCAAAAACAGGTTTCTCTTGTAAATTGGTCCTCTAGGTTCAATGAGACTAACCTGTATAAATAAAGGTTGAATGAAAGATGACACAGTACCTTCCTACCTGTCTCTCTAATTACTGTTACTGTAGTGGTCCAGTCATTTGGAAGATCTTTCTTACCACCAAGAGCTTTTAACAGCTCCTCTCTGAATTTCTCACAACATTTTTCCTTCTTCAGCTTCCACCATTTGGTCTTCTCTGATTTTACTCTTTTTCTCTTCTTCACAACAACAGTCATTCTACACACAACCATCTGATGCTGTCTGGCCATGCTCTCCCCTGCCACAACCTTACAGTCTCCAATCTCCCTCAGGTTTCCTCTTCTACACAGAATGTAGTCAACCTGTGTACTCCTTCCTCCACTCTTATAGCTCACTCTATGTTCCTTCCTCTTTTGGAAACAGGTGTTGACTACAGCCATTTCCATTTTCTTGGAAAAATCCACCACCATCTGTCCTTCCTGGTTTCTTTCCTGGACAACAAACCTACCCATCACTTCCTCATCCCCTCTGTTTCCTTCACCAACATGTCCATTCAGGTCTGCTCTGATCACCACTCTCTCCTCCCTGGGAATAATCTCTATCACTTCATCCAGATCTTTCCAAAATGTATCTTTCTCCTCTACATCACATCCAACCTGTGGAGCATAACCACTGACAACATTTAGCATCAGAACTTCTACTTCTACCTTCAGGCACATCACCCTATCTGACACTCTTTTTACCTCTACTACATTTTTTGCCAACTTCTCCTTCAGGACTACCCCTACTCCACTTTTATTCTTCCATTTTGGATCACGGGGGTCGCCGGTGCCCATGTCCAGCAATTACAGTGCGAGGGGCGGGGTACACCCTGGATGGGTCGCAAGTCCATCACAGGGACACATAGAGACAAACAAGACAAACAACCATTCACTCTCTCACTCACATCTAGGGACAATTTATAGTTACCAATCAGCCTAACATGCATGTTTTTGGTCTGTGGGAGGAAACCGGAGTACCCGGAGAAAACCCACGCATGCACGGAGAGAACATGCAAACTCCACCCAGAAAGGTCCCTGGACCAGGATATGAACCAGGGACCTGCTCGCTGAGAGGCAGCAGCTCTACCAGTTGTGCCACTGTGCTGCCCGAGTGTAATAAATAAAGGATTTATTTACAAAAACAAAAAGGCTGACAGGGCAGCAAAACACACATATAATATCCAGGAGAACACAGGGAGTTCACAAGGAGCAGACCAGGACATCACCAGTGAACAGGTAACAATGCCAGGACAAGGAGTGAGACAAATACACAGGCTTAAATACAGGAAACACCAATTAGACAAAGTGAAGGCACCTGTGAGTAATCACAAATGCCAAAGATAGAGACTGATGACACCAGGGAACATAAACCACAACCCCTACAAGAAGAGCTGCTCCATTCAAAGTGAGATGGATTCCATCTCTCCACATCAAACCAGAGTTTCCCCAAAATGCACTCCAGTTATCTACAAAGCCTACATTGTTTTCTGAACACCACCTGGACACCCAGCAGTTGAAAGCTGGGTGTCCAGGTGGTGGCCCCAGGAATGCATTTGACTGTGGTCTGCATTGCAAGTGCCACATTTCAGATTATGGAGCTGCCAATAACAAGATATGGTCCTCAGCGGGTGTCTCACTAAGCACAAAAAACTGATTTGAAACTTCAGCGGGTTGGTAGTTAACTGGGGGCTTAATTTTAGCATTAATTTTTCTTTGGACCATTACCCAGCGGGCCTGTAGTTTCAGACTGCTAATGTGAGCTAGTTTCAGTGGCTCTGTGCCGCCTACAGGGGCCTGGCTAGTTAGTAGTTTTTCAAAAGCACAGAGCCAAGCTTCCAGCTCAGACAGCCTCTCCTCCAAAACCAACATAACAGAACATTTGTTATATGTACTATTATTGTCAAACGAAGCAGTATTATAACTAAACATTTGACACACGGTGCAAGTAATAAAACCAGAGGCCATACTAAACTAAGGCTAAGAGCTAGCAGAACTCAAAAACACTGATAAAAAACAGAAATCCTAAAATATAAAGACCATAGTGGAATTGGTTTTAGGTTGGGTGATCAAGCAATGTGAGTCCAATGCATGCAGTCACTCAGATTATACGGTCTCAGCTTTTGAGTATGATGAAGTTAGGCAGCTAGCTAGATCAAGCACAGTGTAGCCCAGCACGATGTAGCACCTCAAGACGGGCTCCTTTCATTCTGAAAACACATAAAAATACAGCATAAAAAAAAAAAACAAGAAACAGAAAAAACACAGTTTAAAATAAGGGTGACTCGCCTGATCTCAGCTTTGCGTGAGTTGAATCCGAATCAATCCGAACCAATAAGCTTAGC